CACCACCACCACCACCACCACCACAGCAGCACCAACATCAACATCAACAACAGCATCAGCAGCAACAGCAGTTGTACCAACAGCAACAGCTTCATCACAAAATGCAGCAGCAGCAACAGCAACGACAACAACAACATCAACAACAACATCAACAACAACAACCACAACAAGCACCACAACCACAACAACCACAACCACAGCAGCAACAACAGGGTCAGGAAGACATTCACGGGCCGCGATCAGGGCAATCGGGGCCTCGCGACGATGAGCACCGGAGGGCGGCAGAAGAATATGCAATGTTGGTCAGGCTGGAGGCTGAGGAGCGTGTCAGGCAAGACACGATGCAACGGCAACGCCAGCAAGAGCAAGAAGCAGCCAGAGCGGCAGCAGCGGCAGAGGCGGCAGCAGCGGCGGCGTCAGCGGCGGCAGCAGCAGCAGAGGCAAAAGAGAAGAGGGACTCACACGCGGCGGAGGTGAAGAGGAGGAAGGAGGTGGAGGAAGCTGCCCGCGTGCTACGTCAAAATCAGCAGAAAGAGAAGGAGGAGGAGAAGGCGAGGCAGAAGGAAAGAGAGGAAAAGGAGAGGGAGAAGGGGCGACATAGCCAGGTAGGCGGGGAGAACAGCGACCCATATCACAGGGGTCACCTCGATGACGGGGCCGCGGGCACCTCGGAAGAAGAACGCGGATCGGCGGACCAGAAACACGCGCCTGTGGCCCCATGGTCGGGGAGCACTTCCGTGACCCCTCAAAAAAGCTTGACGGAGATCCAGAAAGAGGAAGAGCGGCGCCAGCGGGCCTTGAAGGAAGCGCGGATGGCTGCTTCGGGTGGGAAAGGGGGGGGCATGTCTTGGGCACGCGCCACGACCACCCAGGCGGCGCATGCCCGTCCCAAGAGCTTGGCGGAGATCCAGGAAGAAGAGGCCTCGGCGGCTGCCTACGCCTCGAATCCCGCTGTCTCCGCCGCCGACAAGCGGGTGGTTTCTCCGGCCATTGCCCGTTCCACGTCTACCTCTACCAATGGCAGCACGGGAAACGACAGCGACGGCGCTCCGCCCCCTCCGTCGGGACCCATTCATGTTCAGCTTCCCGTCTCCCAGGGCAAGCTTTCCCAACGCGAGAAGAAACTCTTGCTTGCTGAGCAACAGGCAGAGGCGGTCCGACAGCAGCATCTCTTGCTCCAGCAGCAGCAACAACCGGGTGGGGCCTGGAATAGGAACAGGGATGCCTCGGCAAAGGGAGGCGGAGGGGGAGGCACGGGTCTTCTGACCGCCATTCAGTCGCAGGAGGAAGAACGGAAGAAGGACGAGGGGCAGGCTGCCAGGGAGGCAGTCGCTCGGAGAGGAGAGGGAGGGGGAGGGGACAAGGCGAAGATGGAACAGCGGCTGAAGATGATGCTTGGGCTAGGGGCCGGAGGCGGTGGGATTGGGGGGGGGGAGGCGCCGGCATGGCAAGCCAAGGGAAAGCCCGTCAAGTCCTTACTAGAGATTCAAGAGGAGGAGGCGCGACGCGCGGCGCAAGAACCTCACCAAGCGAAAGGCTGGGCAGCGCGCGCCGGTGTCAACGCTCCTCCTCAGCGGACGTCTGCCCCTCTTGCCGGTGCCAGCCTTGGGCAGGTAAATGGGAGACGTCCCGGGTGGGTGGTGCCAGCACGGCCCCCTTCTCATGAGAGAGGGAGCGCTGGTGCGCACGCGGCCTCACATGAGGATTTCTGGGGACCGAAAGCTGAGGAGAAAGCCAATGCACAGCGGGCCCCTGCCCGGCCCGTCCAAGCCCCCGTGCCAGCGCCTGCCCCGCCTCCCTCCCGCACCGACGACTCCTTCGGCTCCGCTATGCCGTCCGAGCTGGCAGCATGGTGCGGCAGCGAGCTGCGCCGTATTGCCAACAACGACGACCTGACGCTCATGTCATTTCTCTATACGGTCGAGAGCCCGGCGGAGACGCGGCAGTATCTTTCACAATATCTGGGTTCCAAGCCGGAGGTGGTGAACTTTGCCTCCGAGTTTATCAAGAGGAGGGCGGTTTCGTTGAATGGCGAAGGAGGTGGGAAGAAGGGGAAGAGGAAATGAGCTCGCTTGGGGGTCGTAAAGGAATAGAAAGTGATAGAGCTCCAGGGATAAGGGCATGTACATAGGTGGATGGTGTGAAGGTGGATGGAGACACGATAGAGGTATAATCCAGCACGTGCATTGATGTTTCTCTTGGTAAAAAGCAAGGAAAAGGGATGAAACAGAAGAAGTATAGGACTCAAGGAGAAAAAAATCATGAAGTTGCTGAAATACTTGAACGGAGACTATTGAAAATGAGGAAGCGAACGAAGGTGTGTTAGAATACCCGATGTCCTTGGAGGGTGAGGAATAATCAGCGGTTCAACATAAAGCTACAGCATGGTAAAAAGTTTCAAGCTTTGCAAGACCGCTCTCCAATAAAGGATGATTTCATTTCGTTTCTCTGATGCTTTGCGCTGGATTTGTGGGAGGCACCTGTTATGCCTCTTACAGATCCCCTCTATTTCGTAGTCTGTGAACCAAGTTCCCGATCCACCACCACGCTCGTCTCTTCCACCCTCCGGAATGAAGGGCGGCAGCTCCCCTATGCAAATATCCTACCCCGCCCCGCCGGTGCCATCCCTGTTCAAGCATTACCTTGACATGGGGCTTAGACTGGGAGCACGTCCAAGGAGTAATCCGGGATCACCTGCAGGCTCTCTCCCGCCCGTCTGAATTGCGCGATGTAGCCCTCCACGACCTCCAAGGCCTGGCACGAGAGCGCCGCCGCTTGAATTCTTTCTTGCGTCGAGGCCAGCACCCGGCGTAGGACCCCCTCGTCCCCCCATGCCTCTCCCGCTCTCTCCCGCTTCCCCTCCACTACCAAGGCCACAAACTTGGCGTCCAGCAGGCTCTCCAGCCAGGTCAACACCGCTTCCTCCGTTGGCCTTCCTTTCCCGCCCGCGCCCACAGCCTCTTCCAAAAGCGCCTGTAGCAGCACGAGCAGCAAGGCAGCGCTGGGGCCGTCCATTTCCACGGCGAGGGCAGTGCGCAGGAAGGCTCGACAGCAGGGTCTGCGGACAGCCAGCCCCGCCAGTCTCGCCACTTCCCGCGCTGGGATCCCCTCCTCATCTCCCTTATGAGGTTGCCCAGCATCTCTGTGCTCTTGCGTGGCCGGTGACGAGGCACTAATGGGGGTTAGGAGGTGCTCCTGCGGGCGGAGGAGCCGACGGAGCAGGCAGACAATCGTCCGCTCCGACACCTCCCCCGGCCCGGCCAACACGGCCTCTGTGAGCTCTAGCGGGCCCTCTTCGACCAAACGCAGCACGAGGGGTGCTTCCTCTCGGAGTGGGAACTTGCCGGCTTCGATCAAAGCCCGCAGCAGCACCCACATGACCACTCGCTCCTCCTTCCTCCCCTCGCCTCCCCCCCGGGCTGCCTGGCCCTTGACCTTGGTCCGCGGCGCCGCCCAAGATCCCTTGTCAGCCAGCCTGGACCCCACAGTCCCCACACCCGCGTCCTCGCCCAGACACAGAGCAGCCACGTGGAGGGCCGTCTCCGTCGCCACATGCAGTGGCGCCAACATCGCGGCCTCGCCCCCCCGCTTCCGTTTTTTTCTGCTTTTCTTCTCCTCCTGCTTCCGCCTACACTCCTCCGCACCTTT